AGTGCACCTTTTTTTTTTTTTTTTTAATACTTTTGCTGCTTAAGCAGAGAACAGAAATACTGCCATGGAGTGCATTTAAAGTATTTAAAATAAGGAACTGAAAACTCTTTTTTCTAAGATGGCAACAAATAAACTTGAATGTGCTCAGGAAGAAACAAGTTTGTCTGTTGTCAATCCTTGGCTTGTTTTCTTGATAAAAGAATCTTCTTTTCTCCTTCCTAGAAATGTAATGATGTGCTCACAGAAAGTAATGGAACTGAATAATAGAAAATCCACATAATGCATATTTTCAGTAAGCAATCATTACTTCTGAAATGGAGACTAAAAATGAGAGGGTGATGCAAGTCCCAAAGAAAAACATACTCCTCCAGGGAGAGATCACCCTTGGAAATCTGACATCACCACAAAATAAGAATAATAATCAGAAGGCTCTCAAAAAGGAGCCAATTTATTTGACAGTTTTGGTTGCATTCTCATTGCCAAAGGAATTACTTCTAAGTGGCAGGTGGTGAAAGGCAGGGTGGAGCCCAGGGATAGCAATCACAACAGTAAGCAGTTTTTAGCTTGACTGAGGAGCAAAATCACATTCCATATTAAATGATGAGAAGTCCATTCAATGCTCAAAAGGAATTATAGGCCCCTAATGGGCTGCTGCAATTGCCATGCACAAATAAAAAAACAATGATACATCCAGAAGGGTTTCCAAGACTGGCTCTCATGAGCTTTAAAGTTTTTCAAATGACAGCACAAAAAACTATATAAACAAGCCAGCATGGAATACACCAAGGTAAAAATAATCAGAGGAAGGCAATTACATCACACTGTAGTTTTTGTTCCAAACCAGAACTAAAACCAGCCGGGACTGAAAGAGCATGATGATGCAATTATTCCAAATCTGCATTTATGGGTACTATCCTATAACCATTTTTTAAAGAATATAAAGTGTTCACTTCCAGTTGATTAAAAAAAATCATAGGAGCATTGCTGTATCACACACATGACTTCAGGCTTCCTTAAACCAGAAGAAAAACCAAGGATGAGCTCATTAGAATGGTCAGATTGTTTTTTGGTCATTCACAGCAATTACAGTACCTCTTTACTGAAGAATTTTTAATGAAAAAGAGATACAAATCCAGGTAGGATGACAAGAAGTATTTTTATTAATTACTGTCTTGTCCATACAACGCAACCCGCACACAAAGTTAATGCATTTCCATGCTTGCGTGTCTACTATAAATGCATGTATACAAATATATCACAGAAATATGAATTAAAATTGAGCTCCAAATTTTTAGAAGATCCTCTTGATCAGTTCCTTGCATATTGCTGAATCAAATTTCTCTGGGCTTAAATCTTCTGTCCTCTGCTTAGTCTGTGTTAAAGGCTAGAACAGACCATGTCAATGAGATCCACTAGAAGAAATCAACTAATCTGACTTCCTGCACAATACAGGCCAGACACTTTCATTTAGCTACTCCTCTGTTAGTGGAGAGACTTGTGTTTACCTAAAGCACATCTTCAAGGAAAGCCAAAACTCTATGTCAGCATTTTAAGCCCTACTTTCATAGGGGGGGATCCCATTTAACTTCCTGAAACAGATTTGATTGGATTTTAGATAATATTGATGCCAATCTTCAAGCTATATAAGAAACTCACATATTGAGAACAGGTGCGCCTCAATCCAAATACAACCCAATACAAGCACACACATGCACATGCGCACGCACACACACACAAGCCCTGTATTTGGTAA